CGCTATACAACTCCTCGAGACGATTGTCCCGATTTTTTCAACCCGGATGCTGTAGCCTTTCATCATCTACAAATCTCGCCTTTTTGGTGCTTTTGCCCCTCCCTTCCCCCCACCCCCTTCGCGTCACCTATACTCGTTAGCCGTCGAGTACATATGACCTCCGATCGAGTCCACTAAGGTCGTCCAGAAAATGCTATGGCGCAATCTGGCCGGAAGTCACGCATAATCACCACCGTGACGGTGGGTCCTGCCACGAAATGACTGACATACCTGTCATCGCATGCATGCGTGCCGATAATTACCCACTGAACACATCCTTCCGATAAATTTACCACGGAATCGCTCATGACATTGAAAATAAGTGGTTAACATTCGTCAATTACCGGAACGGGGTCGGACCAACCCATTAGTCACGGGTTACGTAATGCGCGTGAGTTAGTCAAGAGGTACTCAACAGTCGCCGAGGTTAAACGCTGCTAACTACGACCAGGATGAATACTGTAAATGGGTCAGAAATTAATTTAAGGGCCCATTAGTTCCACGAGGTACATGATTTACGGCCTTTCTGATCCTGAATTCGGTCAGCGAACAAATTAGAACCTTATAGTTCCTGGAGGAGCTTATAATAAATCGTGTAGTTGTTGAAGGACTTTAGGAATAGCCAAAAGTACTGCACCAACGAGAGGCTTACCATCACTGAGCTCCTCGGAGATCACGATACCCTCAGGGCACTGCTCCGACTGACCGAAAACGATATTCTGTATGAAATGTCCTCCACTCCACGAGTTCCGATTCACGCACCTAAAAAATTGTTTCTTTTTTTATACCAATCGGTGGTTGAGAAACAGAGAACTCAGAAACGGTTAGAGACGCAGAGCAGTTTTGTCAAGATGTATTAAGCGCGTTTAGAGAAAAAGCAAAACCAGGGTTAATGGTTGCATTCGGAAAATTTTGAGGTCCGCCCCATATCTTGAAAGTTACCCATACAAGCCCGTTTGATCCTTGTTGATACGATACTCCTAGTGACCGTCTGATGGTCCTTAAATCCCACCTGAACTGCCTTGAAAAGTCGTGTCCTTGTGAGGAAGGGAGACGGGGAGGGTTGGAGGGTAAGAGGTATATTCCACGTCCTCGGAAAACCAGCCCGTTTTACCGAGCCCTCCACTGAAGAAACTCAAATATCTTAAAATACGACACTACCTCCCCCCC